AAATTGTGTTGATTTGTTAGTTAGTAGTATGTGTGTGCCAAATATCAACCAATGAAGGAAATTTGGCCTTGGTGATAATGAGCCAATGCATTCAATTTGTTTGAATTCTTGAAATCTGATAAATTCTTTTCGGTGCATTTATGTTTGAGTCAATTCTTGTACAATCTATTTGATATATGTCATTATAGTTTTGGAGCTTGTTAATGTGGTGTGAGGCTAGGTAAACCAAATGAGTAGTGAAATGTAGAAGCATAGCTCGATTACCTAAGCTAGAATCATACTTTCATTTTTTATCATTAGTAATAGCTTTTCTCCGTGCTAGTTTCCTTGAAATATTCCAGTATCAGTTTGATTGGTCATTTAGTTGTTGTTTCCAACTTGGCTAAGTCCAGTTGCATATGTTAGAGTCATTTTCCATGCTACCCAAGTCATTGTTTCATTTCAACTCAAAATTGGTAGTTTAATTGGACAAAATTTCTACATAATTGGAAGTGGCAAGGTAAATTTTCGAAATAGTGTCATTCTGTGCCAAAATTAAGCTCAAACAAGTTTATTTCTATCAAACATAAGAAGAAGAGTACTACTGTTGTGGTCGATGCATCATCCAAGAGGCATACATTATTAGTTTCCCTAGGTTCTCCAATATTAGGATTTGATGATATAAAAGAATTATATAAAAATGATGAAACATTTGCATCCACATATGCATAATGTCTTAAGAAGCCTTTTGATGGATTCTACCTTTATGAGGGATATCTCTTTTAATAAAGGAAAACTTTGCATTCCTCAAGGATCCACTAAGAAGCTTCTTATAAAAGAAAGTCATGGAGGTAGACTCATGGGCCATCATGGAGTTGATATGACTCTTAGTCTGTTGAAAAGCAAATTTTATTGGCTGCATATGAGAATAGATGTTCAAAGACATTGTTCTAGATGCATAGCTTGTTTACATGCCAAGTCTAAAATAATACCCCATGGATTCTATACACCTCTTCCTATAGTTAGTACCCCTTGGGAGGACATAAGCATGGACTTTGTCTTAGGATTATCAATAACTAAAAGGGGTTATGATTCTATCTTTGTGGTGGTAGATCGTTTTAGTAAAATAGTTCATTTTATACCCTACCACAAGATACATGATGCTAGCTACATTTCAAGACTCTTCTTTAGAGAAATAGTTAGATTGCATGACTTACCTAAAACTATTGTGTCTAATAGAGATGTTAAGTTCCTTAGCCACTTTTTGAAAAACTTTATGGGAAAGGCTAGGAACTAAACTCTTGTTTTCTATCACATGTAACCCTCAAACTGATTAGAAAACTAAGGTAGTCAACAGATCTCTATCTACTTTATTAAGGGTAATTCTTAGAGAAAATCAAAAGAATTAGGATGAACATCTTCCTCACATACACCAATGCAAAATAAGGCTACAATGTTTAACATTCAATATCAGAAAATGAACAAGCCAACATTAAAAATGATTGGTGACATTGTTGTAAATAATGCAATAAGTTAAACATCTGTTAGGCCTTCCATTCGACGTTAATAAATAAATAACACTGACCACACACCAAAACAACGTTAAACTGTACCCTAAGTAAATATATAACGTCCGCTCAGACAACAACAGACGTGCATACCAAAATAAATGAATATGAAACGCTCCTTATATTCTCCACAATTTCACTTTCAAAAGAGTTTTTGGATCCTTTAAAAACCCTACACCTCCATTCACCAAACTTTTGCTTCCCTACAGAGCTTTCGTAACATTCAATCATTTTGTTCATTTTTTGTCTTTGGATTTCTATTAACTCCTTCATGTTCACAAAAGCAAGGCATTTCTTTGTCGTTGATTCATTGTCATTATGAATAGTTTTTGTGAAACTTGAAGGTATGATAGAAATCCAGAGCAAAAACTTAACAAATCTAGAATTCTAAAACCTTTTCCATTTTACATAGCATGTGGTTCTTTTACTGGTTTGATTTTCATTTTTGAGCCTATGTTTTGTAATAATGAATTTCTTTTTTGAAATCCTCGAAGGTATTTGATGTTGGATTAAGTGATTATCCGACGTCATTTGGTATATTAACGTCGGCCATTGACAACGTCCGACGTCATTTTGTATATTTTGATGATTTAGTTTTTAAGTTTCCTGAAGTTGTTCTTCACAGAAAGAATTCAGTTGCTCTGAAATTTGATCGTAAGAAACAATTTCAGGAAAACTTAAGAAATGAATAATCCAAATATGATAAACATTTAGACTGTATTAGATTAAACTATGCAATGGTAGTGGTATTTGTTAAAATTGTTTCACCATTAAACATATTTTGAACTATGGTTTAAGTTTTCTGAATATCCTCCTTTCAGTAAGATTTCATTGCATTTCTATCCTCCAAAACGTGTTTTCCTCTCTTCGGATTTCAAAGTGTGCCTTCATTAATACATACATGAGTCCTTAAGATGATTGTGCTCTTTGAAATACAAGAGAGAAAATTGATATTTGAAGAAGACAAATGCTTTGAAATTGGAAGGAAATAAAAATATCCATGAAAACATAAAAATGAATCCTAATATGTTCAATAGGAAAACAACTCTAAACCAAAGTAAGTAATGGAAATGATATTTGAAAACGAATATTAGATTGTCGAATATATAAACAAAAAAGATTTATACTAGCTTTTTGGTTAGACTACTATAAGGCTTACTTAATTGAATGTATTAAACTTTAGTTGTCAATAGATCCAATATCTTCTTATACTAGTTTTTCAACTAGTAGCATTCAACACAGTTTAGAGAGATTTCGGTGCCCAAACAGCTAGTATATTTGGAGTTTATAAATCTTTCAGTGGAGTATTTTAGTCATATGTCTAACTCCACCATAAACTAATTTTTTTTAGACTTATTTATGTATCCAAAGATCAAAAGAGCTTACCAATAAGTTCACTTAACATTTGAAATAACCTACTCACAATATTTATAACATACGTTCACTTAACATTTGAAATAACCTACTCACAATATTTATAACATACATTGTGATGAGACAAGTGAAAACTATTGAATACATCACAAAACCATATATATTTCATGTGCAATAGCATCCTATAAGCATGTTTGTACACCATCTTAAAAGATTGTTGATTAGTCCGCATGTAATGTTGAATCCTTATAGTTATTTCATGTAAATAGTTTCTTCTAAGTTTCCATGAAAAATATTGTCTTAACATCATTTGTTATAACTCGAGATTAAACTCAACAATCATGATAACAACATTTTTAATATATTTGTGGGGATAAATCATTGTAGTCAATTTCCTCCTTCCGAGAGGCAAAACCTCTAAACCAATCTCGCCTTAAACTTTTTCATATTGGTTCTTGAAATTTCTTCCTTGCATTTAAAAATAAATGTATAACTGGGTAGCTAAAATCCATTGAACAATGAACCAAAGTAGGTATTGTTCAAACAAAACTCATCTCCTCATTCATTGAGTCTTCTTACTTACTAGAGCATATAATACACTCGAAAGTTCATTGCCAAAACAAGATACAAAGATAAAATGTTATTTCAAATTAGTAAATGACACCAACGTAAAGATATAATGAGACATATTCGACAAAATCTATGAAAGTTTATCTTTAGGTAAAGTTAAAAATTTTAACACTCACATCTAACATTTAAGTTTATATGTTTTCGGTTTTATTATGAGAAGAGAAGAATAAGTTGCGAAAAAGTAAAAATAATCTTTATCTAAAGATTTATTTAACTTCAAAACTCTTCTACTTAAAGTTCTTTTTTGCATTTTTTTTATCTTAAAATAGTTTAGATTGTTTAAAAAAATGTTTCTTATTAATTAAGTCTTGTTTTTTCTCAACATCATTTTGTGAGAAGTAAAAACAATCTCTTTTAAGGCATACTTTTATTTCATACTTCAAACACCCATGCTTTGTCATATGAATATGAAAGCTTTCAATCTGGTTTTGGAAGAGTAGAAGAGAATTTTTTTTCCTCTATAGGCTAAAAGTGAATGAAGATAAAGCCATCTAATAATGAATATGAAGTCACCAAAAGGATCATATGATATCATGGTTTCTTGCCACTTGTCCTCCACGCATGCCACAAGAAGCCACTAAGTGTCTATACATCATTTGCCCTAGTGGGTTGGTGAAGTGACGCACAAAGTTATAATACACTTTTGTAGTTTTGTTCACACCATTCTTTTCTTCCTTTTACACATTAAAAGAAACATTAGTTTACAACTAACATTTGTTATTGTGGGTTTCAATCTTAATCATAATTGTAATGTTATCTTAAAATCATTTATTTTCATTACATTTTAATTTAATATAAAAATCACCCACAATGATCTTTTTCATTATTTTAAGACGTTGCCTTTTTCTTTATATTTTTATGATACTAATAACATACAGAAAAGAAAAAAAAATCGTAATGATACCAATTAACTATATAAAATAAGTATTGTTTTCCATTCAATATATTAATTTTTAATGACATGCAAAACAAAAATAGGACACCAACGATTATGAAAAGGAAGAATTAAATTACTTTGTCTTTAAATCGTTTTCAAATTTTGACTTTTTTTAAGATAATGTTAGTCATCCTAATTATACTGATTAAGAAACCAAAAGTTAATTTCTTGGATGTATAAAAATAGGCTTTCTGTTTTATAGTTTTTTCTCATAAAATTTTTTATGACTTTTTTTTTCGTTTTAATATTTGACTAGTTAGGAGGCTGGCTGATAAACTTTCTTTCCATTGGCTCCTAAAATTAAAAAAAAAAAACTATATATATTTTTAACTCAAAATTATCAATGAAAAAACTTTTATAAAGTCAACTGAAAATAAATAATCCAATCATATACAAGGCAAAAACCCCATTTTAACAAAGGTTCAAAAGGTACTCAAGAACCACTTCAAAAGCATATAGAATGTTTTGTTATATCTATATACTTATATATACTTTCACCAACACCATATTGATTTCTGAATATTTAAGCACTTTCCATTCTCACATTCTTCTCAACCACTTTCCCATCTCTCTCTCACACTTAATTTTCTGAACACTCTACACAAAATGTGGTACCAGCACAAGACAAAAGCCCTGGCAAAGTTCTTGTTGGTAGCAACAGTGATAGTTGGCATTTCCATGGGAGATTCTTCGTCAAATGACAAAGCTGATTGCGCACAGCAATTGGCGGGGCTAGCAACATGTTTGCCCTATGTTGGAGGTCAAGCACCAGCTCCAACTACAGATTGTTGCAGTGGTCTGAAGCAAGTGCTGAAGAACAAGAAGAAGTGTTTGTGTGTAATCATCAAAGATCGCAATGATCCTGACCTTGGTGGTCTTCAGATTAATGTCACTTTGTCTTTGAATCTTCCCACTGCATGCAATTCCCCTGTCAATGTCTCCAAGTGTCCTGGTAATATTCTTTTCATAATATTAAGTTGGTATTATGACGTCCTTTTACACTCATTTAACATAGAGTATAAAAATAGTAAAAAAATGAATGTTATCTAATAATAATAACTTTTCAATGGAAGCAGAACTCTTGCACATGGATCCCAAATCACAAGAGGCTCAAGTTTTTTATCAGTTGGAGAAAGGAAAAAAAGGCACAAGTCCCGCACCAAGTCCTTCAGGTAATGAAATTGACATCAAACTTTGCTTGCTAGTTACCTAAAAACATGTTTAAATTGTTAAATCAGCATTAATAAAACATAAATTAATTTGTATAGTATATATTTAACACTATTGTTTATCTAAATTTCTTTTAATAATGAGTTATACCTTTTTAACATATTATTCACCTTTTTATTTTTATTTAGTGTCAGACTTCATTCTACACTTCAATTCTTATAAATTTAAAAAATAATTTGTGCATTAAAAATATTTCAAGAAAGTGAATTTTTACATATTAACTTATGCAAAATTTAGTTTTAACAATAATTTAGAAGAAATTTACCCAAATACATGTTAATGGATTTATGGAAAAAAATATATATACTTTCACACACACAATTTTTTTATATTTATTTGACACTAAACTTTTTTACTTTTTACTTTTTACTTTTTCTAAAAAAAAAATTATAAAAATTCACTTTTTTTTAAGACCATTTTATTTTTATTAAATATGTTAGTGTATCATATTATCCTTACTCTCTTATAAGAAGGAAATAAACATGCAAGTGTGATTATGATGCAGCTGCTCTTGGAGCAAATCCTTCAAGCAACCAAACATCCAGTGCCCCACAGAAGCATGATGCATTCTGCAAAGAAAAAGGATTTTTTAAGTTAAATGTTTTGGCTATTGGGCTTCAAGTCTGGGCTTTAACTGGGCTTTTGTCCTAAACTTTTTCACTTAAAACCAATATGGAATGGTCTCTTTCATTTCTCTCTCTCCCTTTGTGTACTACTATTATTACTTTATTACTTATTATAAAAACAGGCCAAGTATTGTGTAATTGTTTTTCGCTCCAAATTATTGTAAAAGTTGTGAGAAAAAGTATGCAAAATATGAAATTTATGTTTATGAAAGTAATCGTTTTTAATATATATGTTTTTGTTATGTACATAATTGTTTCTTAACTAAATACTTTCAAAAACATTTCTAAAAAAAATAAATGAAATTTGTCTTTCCATAAATTGGTTTATACATAAAGTAATTTAAACTTATGGAAAATTATTTTAATTTTTTTCTTTTATAAAAATGTTTTTGAAAAGTTTATCTAATGATAAAAACCACTGTAATTGATGCGCGAGTATTCTACTGAAACCAATTCTATTTAACAAAATATTTTGTCTAACCTATCTAAAAATATCACTTTAAATATATATATATATATATATATATATATATATATATATATATATATATATGTT